TATATATATACACACACACATTAGCCAAAACACTATTTTATTAATCTATATATAAGTTGGTGAAATTAATGTAATTCGTGTATAATGAAATTGAACAAAATATTTACCGAAAAGGAAGATGTTTGAACCTTGAAAAAGAAAAAAAATTGTTAGAACCCATAAGAAATGTGTAGAAATTTCCGAGGGATTTCCTAGGAATTTTTTATTTTTTTACAAAATATTTACCGAAAAAGACGATGTTTGAACCAAATTTGTTTTCAAATGAAAATGGCTTCAACCGAAGATGATTTGAAATAACAATTTATTTACAATTTGAAATAACAATTTATTTACAACAATATAATTTTGAACTGTTTCTTATCGAATAAAATAGAAATAAAAATAAATGTAAATGATTGTAATGATAGTAGAATTATTTCTAAAATTATTATAAATATTATAAACAATACCAAACAAAAATAAGTGGTCATGAATGAGTAAACCAATGAAGATGCACATGCACTTGTTCCCTCCCTACCACTTGGGGCAAGGCTGTTTTTGATTATAAGGTCATGCTTCACTAATAATTATCATTAATTAAATAATTATTTCATTTGAATATATCAAAATTTAATTAGTTATAGAGATATAAAAAAACATCTATCGATAGCCACTAACTAAAAATTAATCTCGCATTAGTAGTACCTTATTAGGAATATGAGACCATAAACAAAAAAATTATGATAACAAAATCAAAACTGAAAACATTATTAAACACTCCACATTAATATGTTTTGAGAGGCAAACCAGTAGAAGAGTCATTGTTTCTTGTCCATTACAAAATGTCCCAAATCATCTTTTGACAAATTCTATATACTATCAAACTTTTTCATGACAAAAACAAAAACAAATCCAAACACATTCAAACATTAACAGCTTGATCCATCCATGTACTTCGATGATTCGAAGTTGTCATGAACTTGAATCAAGATTAGGGTTTGCTTCATATTTGTCTTTAACACCTGTTCTTGCATTTTTCCATTGCTCTTGGGGCTGTAAATCAAGATTAAGGTTTATTTCAATATATACTTAGAGTAGGGTTTACTTCAAGACAAATTAAAAAAGGAAAACGCAGACACCATGCTAAGAATTATGTAAATAAATGAGTTTAGTGTTGCTCACCCAGTCCAATTGCATCTGATCCCTTCATGATTCGAAGTCGCTTGCAAGAATCAACAAACATTCTGCACGAAAACAAGTTTGGATTGTTGAGAATACTTGTTTTCTAAATTTTATCTGTTCATATTACCAAGAACTTACGGCCATGGGACGTCACCAACAAGCATCCAATCACCATCTTTATCTTCATAGCTTGGAACATATTCAGAACTGTTAAGGAGATCCATCAGCTTGCTCTCATTCATGAAATCAATCATTCCTTGGGATCCATACTCTCCTGCAAGGATAAATAAATGAACATCATAAATATATGTTTACAGACATAATTTAATGTAAAATACCCACATTAGTTAATTTGAGTAGCACCCTATTTGTCCAACAGAACTATAAAAATTTGTATTTTAAAATACCTTATGAAAATTACATGATCTTTCATAGAACATGTTTTGAGAGGTAAAGAAAATATATTTAAAAAATTAACATAAGCAACACAACATTTGGTATACCATCATATGTTTCAAGACCTAAGGCTTCGAAATTTCTATTGATCCGAAAAGTAACTTTTTTCTTGAACGGCTGAGAAAACTACCCATTTAAAAATCGCCATGTCTATATTAGAAGATAATAATTATAGAAAAAGGAAACATATGCACTTGATTAGTATCGGGATTTGAAATATTCACTATATAATTGACATAAATATTCTATCGAAGACACGAATAATTATAGACAAAGCGTTACATATATATGTTCTCATCATCAATAACTCAATCTTCTTGAGCGTAATTGAATGTTGCGAAACATTTTGTTTTTTATTATCCGGACTGTCCAAGTTGTTTGATAAAATTGGATTACTGCTTTCTTTACTTTCTTAATGTTTTTATATGAAAAACCTTTTCCAGATGTGACTAAACGAGAAGTGAAAACTTCGGCCATCTTGATGATCATGCACGATACGACCAACAAGTAATGCATTTTACGTCTAAACCCTTTAAATTGTTAGGCAAATTTCAACTACTCGAGTATGAACTAAGACATACCCATGGTGAAGGAGCTAAACATTTTAGCTAAAGCATCGGATAATTGTTGATAACTCTCATACAATTTAAGGTCCACCTTGCGAAGATACGGTGCTCCATCCATTGAAACTTTCACAAAGGCCGCATGGCTGTTACTACCAGTGCTGGCTGCCACCACCTTCTCAGTTTCGTCATTATTGCTCTTCTGAGCCATCACGTTTTTGCGATAGTTTCGCACTGGTGGCCATCCTACCACCTGTGCCCTATTAAGTAAAAAAGAAAAAAACAATTAACAATTTTCATAAAGTAGTTACTATGACTATAGTTGAGAAATTTGATCATAATAGTTTATAACCCGAGGATTAACATATTATATATTTAGAAAGAACGAAAGGTTGTTTTTGCCGAATATGTAAACATTCAACTTTAAAAATGACAGACACACACACACACATAGGTATAATATATCTGTATATGTGTATGTATCTTATTAAAATTAGAAAAAAAAAAAAAGCGTACTTGGCTGGTGGCTTGATCAAATCTTTGTTGTTCTTGGAGTTCTGCAACTTCATATCATTCAGATTAGTAGAAGATGAGGACTGGTCATTTGGTTGTAGATTGAGCATAAGATCAACAGTCTCTGCGTAGCCACGTTTTCCGGTAACCTTTAAGGTCTCCACCTCACAGCCACTGCCTCCTCCACCCGGTAGGCCAAGGCATAGCTCAGTTTCCTTGAGGTGCATCATGATTTTCTTGCAAACTATCAAAAGCTTTGTTTTTGCACTGCTTCCTGTTGTATCTTCAGTTCCTTCTTACGGGATGAGAGAGAGAGAGAGAGAGAGAGAGAGAGAGAGAGAGAGAGAGAGAGAGAGAGAGAGAGAGAGAGAGGCAATAAGAAAGAGGAGAAGTGGAATAGAAGTTCATGTGCATATATAACAAGGAGTTGCATCATTTGCATCATGTACTGACGGATCATATGCAAACACGTTGTGGTATTTGGTATGTAAATCTTCTAGGATCAAGGGCTTCTTTGTATATAAATTAAAATAATTCAAGTGTCACAAATTAAAGAAATAACCCTTTCTGTATCGCAGTCCTGTAAACAATATTTTGGTTTCATTATTTCTTATATACTACTATTTAATGATTTAATGATTGGACGTTAATCCAAATGATTTCGTGATTTCAGGTCCCACGTTATGCATGGATCCCAGAATTACATGCAGTAACTTTTTCTCATATATTATACATGGTTAATGCTTAAAAAAT